CGGGTACCCGGGTATCGGGTAGGGTACGGGTATCGGGTACCCGGTTGCGACCTCTGGTGCAGACCCACTCCTGCCACTTCGCAGATAAAGGGACGGGCTTGGCTAGTCGATACAAAATGCGACAAACACCAAAGACTCTTCAACGTGAACAGGGCAACTTATTAAGAAGTTTCCTCGCTGGAATGGACTGGTCTCTTCGACTGATATCTTCACTTAAAAGCTTTCGTGACTGCAGCAGGGATTCATCTTCTTGGTTCTTTCGGTAAAGTCACGTAGAATGAAAATAATAAAATAATAAAAATAAAACAATAAAATCATTCTCACGACGTTTAGGCCACAACGCAAGCAGCCGTCCTCAGGTGTAGAACAGGTCTGTCGAGAAGACAGCGTCTGAATGTCTTCTCGACAGATCTGTTCTTCACCTGAGGACCGCTGCTTGCGTTGTGGCCGAAACGTCGTGAGAATTGTATTTTATAATGTTTTATTTCTATTATTTTATTATTTCCCTTCTACGTGACTTTACCGAAATAACCAAGAAGATGATATCTTCACGTGCAAAAACACTTCCTCGGACCCATTCCAGAATAGTTTTTAATTGTAAACAGTTTTATACAACCGCCAAATCGTTCCCCTCTGATCCTCAACCTGGGAATCAAGTTGAGTGCTGGGGTTTTGCTGCCTGGGTATCACGTAACACTCCATGTCGGCAATTCAGTTGCATCCTCCACACATTTTGAACCGCTTCTAATGAACGCACGCCCAGCGGCAACTGTTTGCATTCATCAAAGGTAACTTTAAACCTAATGTCAAAATAGTTAACGTCAACAAACAAACGAAACCATCGAACGAGGAGGGACACCAGTTCAATCCCTGGTTGGGGGCCGACCCACCTCCTCATCGTGTCTACAACACCTCCACGTACGAGGCCCGAACGCAAACAGACGGAAACCTCCTCTCAGAGTTCCACGTGGAGACCTGGCGACACTTGGAGGCATTTTGACACCAGCCACCAGCCCCACACGGTGCCATGCTGAGACGCTTGTAGCAAGCCGCACACCTACACCCCCACCCTCCCTCCCTGCCTCCCCTTCCTCCCTCCTCTCCTCCCACCACTCCCTTCCACCCTTCCCTCCCTTCCTCCCTCCCCCCTCCCTCCCACCCCTCTCTACCTCCTCCCCTCCCTCCCTTCCACCCCTCCCTCCCCTCCCTCCCTCACCCACTGCTCGTCCCTCCTGATCCCCCTCCCCCTCCCGAACTGATGATTTGGGGTCCATCTCAGCGTAGTGATCGCAGTCGATCAAACCACTCAGCCCCCCTCCTCCCCCTCTCCCTGCCCCCCCCTGCGACCCCTCCCTCCCCCCTCTCTCCTCCTCTCTCCACCCCTCCCCCCGCTCTTCCCCGCCCTCCCTCCACCATCCCCCCTCCCCCCGCCCCACCCACCCCTCCCCCCGCCCTCCCTCCCCCTCTCTCCACTCCTCCCCCCGCCCTCCCTCCCCCTCCCCCCGCCGTGCCCCCCCCGCCCCCCGCCGGGTTCAAGGGAGCGTTGGCCCCCCTCTCGAGCTCCCGCCACTCCCGCCGCTCCCGCCGCCTACCGAGGGAGCGGTGCAACGCGAAATACTCGCGCTCCCACGCCTCCCTGGCCTCCCGCGCCTGCTCCCTCTGCCTCTCCCTCCTGGACTCCCTCTCCCTCCTCGACTCCCAGTCGCCTCCGCTGAGACGCCCGCCCTGTCTGTCCGGCTGCTGCCGCTGCTGCTGCTGCTGCTGCCGCTGCTGCTGCTGCTGTGGCTGCTGCTGCTGCTGCTGTCGCTGCTGCTGCTGCGGCGGCTGCTGCTGCTGCGGCGGGTGCTGCTGCTGCTCCTGCCCCCTGAGCCCGGCCCAGATGTCCGAGATTCTCCTCTGCATGGCCGGCGGTTGTCGCCGGTGGGATTCTCGCTCGGTCCTCCTGTGACGTCACAGCAAGCGCCACAGTCGTCGTCACCTCTGTGTGGGTCTCTGTGAGTCTCTATGAGTGTGGGTCTCTGTGGGTCTCTGTGGGTCTCTGTGAGTCTCTATGAGTGTGGGTCTCTGTGGGTCTCTGTGGGTCTCTGTGAGTGTGGGTCTCTGTGGGTCTCTGTGAGTCTCTATGAGTGTGGGTCTCTGTGGGTCTCTGTGGGTCTCTGTGAGTGTGGGTCTCTGTGGGTCTCTGTGAGTCTCTATGAGTGTGTGGTCTCTGTGGGTCTCTGTGAGTCTCTGTGAGTGTGGGTCTCTGTGGGTCTCTGTGAGTCTCTATGAGTGTGGGTCTCTGTGGGTCTCTGTGAGTCTCTGTGAGTGTGGGTCTCTGTGGGTCTCTGTGGGTCTCTATGAGTGTGGGTCTCTGTGGGTCTCTGTGAGTCTCTATGAGTGTGGGTCTCTGTGGGTCTCTGTGAGTCTCTGTGAGTGTGGGTCTCTGTGGGTCTCTGTGAGTCTCTATGAGTGTGGGTCTCTGTGGGTCTCTGTGAGTCTCTGTGAGTGTGGGTCTCTGTGGGTCTCTGTGGGTCTCTATGAGTGTGGGTCTCTGTGGGTCTCTGTGAGTCTCTATGAGTATGGGTCTCTGTGGGTCTCTGTGGGTCTCTGTGAGTGTGGGTCTCTGTGGGTCTCTGTGGGTCTCTGTGGGTGTGGGTCTCTGTGGGTCTCTGTGAGTCTCTATGAGTGTGGGTCTCTGTGGGTCTCTGTGGGTCTCTGTGGGTGTGGGTCTCTGTGGGTCTCTGTGGGTCTCTATGAGTGTGGGTCTCTGTGGGTCTCTGTGGGTCTCTGTGAGTGTGGGTCTCTGTGAGTGTGGGTCTCTGTGGGTCTCTGTGGGTGTGGGTCTCTGTGGGTCTCTATGAGTATGGGTCTCTGTGGGTCTCTGTGAGTGTGGGTCTCTATGCGGTGGGTCTCTGTGGGTCTCTGTGAGTGTGTGTCTCTGTGAGTGTGGGTCTCTGTGGGTGTGGGTCTCTGTGGGTCTCTGTGAGTGTGTGTCTCTGTGAGTGTGGGTCTCTATGAGTATGAGTCTCTGTGGGTCTCCATGAATATAGGTCTCTGTGGGTCTCTATGAGTATGGGTCTCTATGAGTATGGGTCTCTGTGTGTCTTTGTGGGTCTCTATGAGTGTGGGTATCTGTGGGTCTCTATGAGTATGGGTCTCTGTGGGTCTCTATGAGTATGGGTCTCTATGAGTATGGGTCTCTGTGTGTCTTTGTGGGTCTCTATGAGTGTGGGTCTCTGTGGATCTCTATGAGTATGGATCTCTGTGGGTCTCTATGAGTATGGATCTCTGTGGGTCTCTATGAGTGTGGGTCTCTATGAGTGTGGGTATCTGTGGATCTCTATGAGTATGGATCTCTGTGGGTCTCTATGAGTGTGGGTCTCTATGAGTATGGGTCTCTGTGTGTCTCTATGAGTGTGGGTCTCTATGAGTATGGATCTCTGTGGGTCTCTATGAGTGTGGGTATCTGTGGGTCTCTATGAGTATGGGTCTCTGTGTGTCTGTATGAGTGTGGGTCTCTATGAGTATGGGTCTCTGTGACCTATCTCTCTCCCCACTGCTACCGTTATCGTATTCTCTTACTCCTGCTCTCCGCTATTCCGGGCACCATCACTCCAGCTCCCCATCGCTCCAGCTTCCACCAAGACTCCGTCTCTCTGTTACGCTATACAGTGATACCTCGGTTCACGAACTTAATTCGTGAACTGACTCTGGTCGCGAACCGAATTGGTCGTGAACCGAGGCACATTTTCCCACAGGGTTCAATGTAAATCCGGTTAATCCGTTCTGACCTTTTTATTTGGTTTTTGAAGCACAAAAATATTAAACAAATTACAATACACATTAGTACTGTACAGTATAGTAATGTATAAAGAGAGAACACTAACCTTGCTTGAGATGACTTCAGTAAGCACTCAAACGGGTGAACTGTACATTACAGTAAGTACAGTATTGTACAGTACAGTAGTACAGTACTGTATGTGCTAAAAAGCACACCAAAAAGCAAAAAGTCACTGAAAGTGTCTTCACAGTACTCACAGTACTTCTTTCTGTGTCTCTTCTTCTCTCCACGATCTTCCTACAGGAAGTCACGACCACGTGACAGCCTGGAAATAGCATTAAAATGGCCGCGGCTCCTGTTCGTGAACTGGAGCATATTTTTATGAACTTTTCTGTTCGTAAACCGAGTTGTTCGTGAACAGAAGCGTTCGTGAACCGAGGTATCACTGTATTTTAGATCCACCCAATCAGTCCCTATTCATTATCTCACCCCCCGATTACCCATCACCCCCCAGGCCCCCAACCCCACGTGACTTTGTTATTGCCGCCTGGGCGACGCCACTCGTTAAGCAATCACTCTCTCGGCCAATCACCGGCCTGTGTCCCCGGTTGCCCATAACAGCTGTCACGTCACTTAACGGTCTCCTCTCAGCAACAACAACATCGTCCTCAAATACCCGCCTACTGTACACTTGCTTGTCTGCCTAGCAACAGACCCACAGAGCGCGTGGCGCGTGTATTTCAGGTCCTACATCTCTATAAAAATTGTGTGTGTATATATAACAGTACTGTTTGTGTGTATAAACTGTATATTACATATCTCTCTATGTGCGTGTCTCTCTCTGTCTCTCTCTGTCTCTCTGTGTCTCTCTCTGTGTCTCTCTGTCTCTCTCTGTCTCTCTGTGTCTCTCTGTGTGTGTCTCTCTCTCTGTGTATCTCTGTGTCTCTCTCTCTGTCTCTCTGTGTATGTCTCTCTGTGTCTCTCTGTCTCTCCGTGTCTCTCTGTGTGCTTGTCTCTCTGTGTCTGTGTCTCTCTGTCTCTCTCTGTCTCTCTGTGTTTCTCTGTGTGTCTCTCTCTCTCTGTCTCTCTCTGTGTCTGTGTCTCTCTCTGTGTGTGTTTCTCTCTGTGTCTCTCTCTCTCTCTCTGTGTCTGTCTCTCTCTGTGTCTCTCTGTGTCTCTCTGTGTGTCTGTCTCTCTCTGTGTGTCTGTCTCTCTCTGTCTCTCTGTGTCTCTCTCTGTACTTGCTCCGGCAGTACATATACTAAATTGGAACGATACAGAGAAGATTAGCATGGCCCACCTGCGCAAGGATGACACGCAACTTCTGTCTCTCTGTCTCTCTCCGCGTCTCTCATGTATCTCTGTGTGTCTCTCTCTTGTCTCTCGTGTGTGTCTCTCTCTCTGTGTCTCTCTGCTGTCTGTCTCTCTCTGTGTCTCTCTGTGCCTGTCTCTGTGGGTGTGTGTCTCTCTGTGGTGTGTCTCTCTGTCTCTCTGTGTGTGTCTCTCTCCGTGTCTCTCTCCGTGTCTCTCTCCGTGTCTCTCACTCGGAGGCGCCGACGAGAAGAACGGTGACGCCGACCACGAGGTGGTGGACGACGACGACGACGGCGGCTTGTGATCAGCACGAGGGGGATCATCCCACTGACAGCCACGAGTCACGAGGTCTCCCACGTGGGGGAGGGGCGGGGCTCTGGCACTCAGGCCCACACCCTCTTTCTAGAAGACACGCCCTCTTTCTAGAAGGAAACACGCCCTATTGTCTAGAAGACCCTGCCCATCTTTCTAGAAGCCACCCTCACCTCTTTCTAGAAGAACACGCCCTCTTTCTAGAAGACACGCCCTCTTTCTAGAAGCCACTCCCTCTTTCTAGAAGAGACATGCCCTCTTTCTAGGAGACACGCCATCTTTCTAGAAGCCATCCCTCTTCTAGAAGGACACGCCCTCTTTATAGAAGCCACTCCCTCTTTCTAGAAGACACGCCCTCTTTCTAGAAGACACGCCCTCTTTCTAGAAGCCACGCCCTCTTTCTAGAAGAACAACGCCCACTTTCTAGAAGAAACGCCCTCTTTCTAGAAGACACGCCCTCTTTCTATAAGACACGCCCCATCTTTCTAGAAGCCCCTCCCCTCTTTCTAGAAGGACACGCCTCTTTCTGAGAAGACACGCCCTCTTTCCTAGAAGCCACTCCCTCTTTCTAGAAGACACGCCTCTTTCTAGAAGACATACCCTCTTTCTAGAAGCAACTCCCTCTTTCTAGAAGGGACACCGCCCTCTTCTAGAAGCCACGCCATCTTTCTAGAAGCCACTCCCTCTTTCTAGAAGACACACCCTCTTTCTAGAAGACACGCCCTCTTTCTAGAAGACACGCCCTCTTTCTAGAAGACACGCCCTCTTTCTAGAAGACACGCCCTCTTTCTAGAAGACACGCCCTCTTTCTATAAGACACGCCCTCTTTCTAGAAGACACGCCCTCTTTCTAGAAGCCCCTCCCTCTTTCTAGAAGCCGCCCTCTTTCTAGAAGACACGCCCTCTTTCTAGAAGACACGCCCTCTTTCTAGAAGCCACTCCCTCTTTCTAGAAGACACGCCCTCTTTCTAGAAGCCACGCCATCTTTCTAGAAGCCACTCCCTCTTTCTAGAAGACACGCCTCTTTCTAGAAGACACGCCCTCTTTCTAGAAGCCACGCCCTCTTTCTAGAAGACACGCCCTCTTTCTAGAAGACACGCCTCTTTCTAGAAGACACGCCCTCTTTCTAGAAGACACGCCCTCTTTCTAGAAGACACGCCCTCTTTCTAGAAGACACGCCCTCTTTCTAGAAGACACGCCCTCTTTCTATAAGACACGCCCTCTTTCTAGAAGACACGCCCTCTTTCTAGAAGCCCCTCCCTCTTCTAGAAGCCACGCCCTCTTTCTAGAAGACACGCCCTCTTTCTAGAAGACACGCCCTCTTTCTGAAGACACGCCCTCTTTATAGAAGACACGCCCTCTTTCTAGAAGCCACGCCCTCTTCTAGAAGCCACGCCCTCTTTCTAGAAGACACGCCCTCTTTCTAGAAGACACGCCCTCTTTGATAGACACGCTCTCTTTCTAGAAGCCACGCCCGCTTTCTAGAAGACACGCCCTCTTTCTAGAAGACACGCCCTTTTCTAGAAGCCACGCCCTCTTCTAGAAGACACGCCCTCTTTCTAGAAGACACGCCCTCTTTCTAGAAGACACGCCCCTCTTTCTAGAAGACACGCCTCTTTCTAGAAGCCCCTCCCTCTTTCTAGAAGCACGCCATCTTTCTAGAAGCCCCTCCCTCTTTCTAGAAGCACGCCCTCTTTCTAGAAGACACGCCCTCTTTCTAGAAGACACGCCCTCTTTCTAGAAGACACGCCCTCTTTCTAGAAGACACGCCCTCTTTCTAGAAGCCCCTCCCTCTTTCTAGAAGACCACGCCTCTTTCTAGAAGACACGCCCTCTTTATAGAAGACAACCCCTCTTTCTAGAAGACACGCCCTCTTTCTATAAGACACGCCCTCTTCTAGAAACACGCCCTCTTTCTGGGACACGCCCTCTTTATAGAAGACACGCCCTCTTTCTAGAAGCCACGCCCTATTTCTAGAAGACACGCCCTCTTTCTAGAAGACCCGCCCTCTTTATAGAAGACACACCCTCTTTCTAGAGACCGCCCTCTTTCTATAAGACACGCCCTCTTTCTAAGAAGCCACG